TTGGGGCGGATATTCATGTTTTGCGATTTTAACGCCCTTTTTTGAGGCATATTCCTGTTTTGCGATTGAAACGTGGTGTTTCATGTTTTGTGATTTTAACGCGGTTTTCAGGCGGATATTCATGTTTTGTGATTTTAACGCGGTTTGGGGGCAGATATTCATGTTTCGCGATTTTTCCGCGGTGGGGCATGTTTTGTGATTTTAACGCGGTTTTCAGGCGGATATTCATGTTTTGCGATTTTAACGCGGTTTGGGGGCAGATATGCATGTTTCGCGATTTTTCCGCGGTGGGGCATGTTTTGTGATTTTAACGCGGTTTTCAGGCGGATATTCATGTCTTGTGATTTTAACGCGGTTTGGGGGCAGATATTCATGTTTCGCGATTTTTCCGCGGTGTGTCATGTTTTGTGATTTTAACGCGGTTTGGGGGCGTATCTTCATGTTTTGTGATTTTAACGCGGTTTGGGGGCAGATATTCATGTTTCGCGATTTTAACGCGGTGTGTTATGTATCGCGTTTAACGCGGTTTGGGGGCGTATCTTTATGTTTCGCGATTTTAATGCGGTTTTTGGTCGGATATTCATGTTTTGCTATTTGAACGTAATGCTTGTGTTGATACAACTACATATTCACACTTTAAATGTCTGGCGCGTTGCCTGTGTCATTACATCTAGCTTCATGTTTTTACTGTAGTGTGTGTGTCAGCAGCCCTTGTATTTAGTGATGATATCATAAATTTGAATAGGAAACACACGGATATTTCAGGAGCAAATAGCTTGTAACATTACAAAAAAAACCGAGGAGATGTGCATTGATGAGATCGTTGAGATGATGACTGTTATAGAAATAAATTAAAAAGTACATTGCTAACCATGTGTTCATTTTCTCAGGACCATTTTGAAACGCGCCACATCAGAGATCTAACGATATCACAGTGGCACATGCATTACTCCCATACACCTTGTACTGCCTCTAGATCTCTCTATGATTCATTATACTGTAAACTTATAGGTTTCAGCGGTACTGTTATTTTTGCGTTTTTCGTTCTAATGCTGAAGCTTATAATTCATGACTATGATACTGTAACACATGCCCCATTCAAAACAATGTATGGACATCGGAGTAGGGGGTCCTCTATATTTCTTATATCAGTTATATCAGATTTGGTTCCGGTTCTTGCAGAACGTCGTCGATTGTGTGTATTTGAATGTCTGTAGTTAATTTGATAAACTTCTTAGACATCTGTCTCATCACAATAAAGAATTTAATTTCTAGGTTAACGGGGCAAACACATTTTTATCGTGACACCGAATGCGGATGGGAATTTGACAATATGGAAGGAGAATAACCTAAATTGCAAAAGTACGTTGCGTTATTACATATACCTAATTCACTATGTAATTTTATACACCGATGCTGTTAAATTGTGCACATTAAGCTGTCTATGCAGCCGCCATAATCCCGATGAACCGTAATCGTCTATATGAATACGTCTGAGCTATACATACGTGCGGACTGATTTATATTCATTTGAGTGGTCAATGACAAGACGTGAGGAGGTTAGTGATTTGGACAGTCTGTCGGGTATTCGATCCCAGAGGGCAAGCTGTCATGCCCCGTACCACCACAGACGGCCTGAGACGAGGTTCAAGTACTGCTAGGAGTTCCTGAAACGACTTCTATCCCATATCATATGAATACAAAACGTCTTGTCGTTTTGATCTGGGAGATTTAATAATCCCGAATTGGTCAAAAATTATTCTAGACGTACCTACGTCAGTATATACAATATATGTATATATATATATCAATATAGTAAAGAAATATCAAGTAATAGACAAATACATGTCGTGGTAATGTATTGTGAGAATGAATCAGATAGCCACCTTTCAGCATCATTAACAACCGAATCCGTGTTGCGAATTGAAATCAGAAACAAATCTGGTTTATGTAGAACGACAGAGTGAAAATAACCATGATCCAAGTTAAATAAGAGCACCAATGCTATTTGTCATATGCCCGAATCAACCGTCCGTAAAACTATACTTGTAACTGCTATTGAAAAGCGACGTTCTCCGTTATATCACGGACGCAGAAATGCAGAATTGATGAGAGCGATGAAAGGACAGCTTCTCCTTGGCTGTACGTACAGGAACGCGTTGACATGTCTCACAAGGTTTACCCATTATCACATAAAGCATACATAGCCGCATGAATACACAAACATGCTAAACATGTTACGTATCTGAGCTCTTCCACCAAACTTACACCCCAACAATGAGCGTGGTCTGTTCCCGTCTGCCACTACAATGCCGGTTCTTGTGTCAGCCCCAATATTTTGGCGTTTGAAGCCGGTTTTTTCATGCCATACCTCACATATCGGAGATCCGCCCTACCTGACGGCAAGCCGCGCGTGTTTTACAGATAAAAAAGATTGATTGAATCAAAACAGAAGTCGACAAAGACAACACCGACTGACGTGTATATGAAAAATTCAAAGAACACAAAAAATATATATTTTCATCTAACGTTATATTTAGAAATTTCCGAAATGATAGACGCCTTTTTATGTTTCAAATCAAATAGTCTTGTGTAGGAATATAACATCATCGACGTGTATACGCACGTGTATTTCAGTTCCAATATCAGAACAATACAGCCTTTTCAACCCCATTAATGATATTAGTTATGCTTATGACATCTACAATATGTAAATTACTTCTATTGAAACGAAAATAATCATTGGCATATTTCCATATCTGAATTGGTCCGGAGTCATCATGGTAAGTGGTTAAGGAAGTATGCCATTTCTCCACCTGTTTTTATGTGACGCTTCATAGTACAATGTAGTAAGAAAGTGCCGCTTTTGGCATAGAGTCATCCGGTGCACTCCCCTATATAATCCTTACCACCTCCCTGGTATCCCCCTAGTGCCCCCCCCCCCCCTGCCAAGGGGGGACCCGGACGGGGCCGCCCGGGGGGGGGGGGGGGGGGGGGGGGGTCTCCCGTATTTGGGTTTTATCCTGACTGCATCTATTTATAGCGACAACCTATATACGAGGGGGTTACCGATCGATGATGTCATAGGGGTTTCTCAGCAGCAGCAACAACAACAGCAGCAGCAGCATCAACAACAACAACAACAACAACAACAACAACAACAACAACATCCTGGCCACCACCACCACCACCGCTGCAAACGCCGCAAACGCCGCCGTCGCCGCCAGGATGAGGTTGTTGTTGCTGTTGTTGTTGTTGTTGTTGTTGTTGCTGCTGTTGCTGCTGCTGCTGCTGCTGCTGAGAAACCCTTATGACATCATCGATCGGTACCCCCCTCGTATATGCGTTGTCGCTATAAATAGATGCAGCCAGGAAAACCCCAAATACATGAGAACCCCCTGTGACGTCATCGATCGGTCTCCCCCCTGTCGAAGGGGGTTGCCACTAGGGGGGTGCCAGGGAGGTGGTAAGGATTATATAGGGGAGTGCATCGGATGACCCTGTGCCAAAAGATGCACTTTCCTACTATTTGCAATCAGGAAAAATCCAAATACATGANGTGACGTCATCGATCGGTTCCCCCCTGCCGAAGGGGGTGCCACTAGGGGGGTGCCAGGGAGGTGGTAAGGATTATATAGGGGAATGCACCAGATGACCCTCTGCCAAAAGCGGCACTTTTCTACTACTCTTCATGATGTCCTCGTTGTGTTTGTGGTTTCGTTGGTTCCCGTTGTCATCGAGTTCTGATTTCTTTCCATGTGTGATGCAATTATTATTATTTTACCTGCATCGGGCTTTCTCTTCATATGTTTCCGATATTAGCTCTCGTATGTGTAGTATCCCTTATTCCGATCATTTCTGAACGTTTTTGTTATACTTGGTGTATCATGGCACGTGCGATTGTTGAAGACGGCGAACCTTCAGGATATAAAGTCTAATGTACTAATGACAATGTCTTTTTACATGTACTTCCATGCTACGTTGTAGGTTATACATCCCCTTGTCAATTAAAATATGTGATACCTTAAATTTCACAGCTAGTACTGTGTGTGCAATGCAAGTCTTTTCAAGTGTGCACCAATAATTATTCTTACCTCCGGATAATTCCCTAAAATAGCGTGTATTCAAAGCTTTAAACCGTAGAACTACGTATGTTTTTTCCTGGATTTAAGTAACATTCTTGACAATGCACAACCACAGGATCAGCCTGTTGTCTTCTGGGAAACACTGAGCAAAGGCAGTGACCTACCATGTTGGTCAGTGTGTTGACATCCATTTCATGTGTCTTCCAAATATGATTTCACATTTAATCACAATAAAACAGGTGTCATATATCGATAATTTTTGTATTCATACCAGACGCCAATAATGGACCGTAATGTCTGCGCTGATGATAATTACTGCTTCTTGTGGCCCAATCAGTTTACGGGGGACTGGAGTCATTGTCTAAGCTTCGGGCATGCAGGGGCAGACAACTCGCTTCATGTGTCTAATGCAAAAATTACGGTTGTGATATGAATCGATTGCTTAAAACCTGCTTTGTATAACACCAGTAACGACTTACCGTGAGTCATTAACCAGCAATGAACTATATCATGTTGCAAATGCTTTTAATTTTGATTCGAGGTCTCAGAGTTCATGCTAAAAAATAAAAAATAAAAACTCGTTACTGGATAAAGCCAGGATCGGCTTTCCCGCTGAATCATAATTCGAAGCTCAAACTAAAAGAGTTCAGTCCTATAAAGCAATTATCATCTCAAAGCAATTCCTTTTAGGCTTTAAAAGATAAAGACAAGGAAATTATGTTTTGCAGGAGAAACGTATCGATAGATTGACTGAAACAACATCAATAGCATGTGTCATGAACCTCCATATATCGCCAATAAAAGGAATCCTGATCAGGGTGGGGTCGAGTCGGCCACAATTATTCCGAACATTTAGTATAGCCGCGCTACCTGACCGTCAGATGTGTATTCAAGCACCGAGTAAGTGAACGTATCAATGAATCTAGTGATCAGAGACTCCGAGAGTTCGATACTCCAGCCGCCACATGTTGTTAGGCCCACTCCGCACTGTCATCTCTGAGACGTGTTATACACTTTATACAGATAAATATCAACTAACTCGATCCAATTAGATATGGGATGTGGCGAGTCAGTCGGGCAAGCGATACCAGTACTGCCATTTCTACTGTGCTTTGCGCTCCAGTAGAGTCGATCTGAATATCTTTATTCATAGCACTGCCGGTCCTTTATACTTGTGTACTCTGTGAGTTACGTTGCTTTCCAAGTTGTACGGCACACTGTTGGACCAGGCATGGATAACGTTCACAGACCCACATGACGAGCTCTTCCTCTGCTCCTTCCGCAGCACCTAGCACTATGCGAGATGGATAGAATCACATAGTGTTAAAAACATAGTAAGGGCTAATTTCTTAGCTGGTTATTGCTCTGTGTAATACGAGATCATTTAGCTGGGTTGTTACTGCTTCCGATCTCTCGGGGTAGCTTTCAAACACGAGTTTTCTCTCATGGAGCCCTGAAGCGGGCATGTGTTTAAACGTAGTACGGCCAGTTATGGATACAAGCGAACTTATTTAAATTGGAGAAGTATTGCGACAAGAGTGGGGTTTATTTGTTAGTGATATCTGTGGAATTACGTTTGTGTTGATGTGGGATATACGTTTTATCACGGCCAGGTAAGTGTGTGTGTGAAGGGGAGGGACGACGGCGGAAGGGGATCTGTCATAGAATCCAGTGTCGCCACAATCACAGGTCCATGATATACCCCGACATTCTAACGACACCATGAAAACACATTGTCGGCGTCCTGTAATGCGATCAACACGTGGTCTGCACTTATACTTTCATGCCTAAATTGTAAACCAATTAAGGAGATACAGTCAAATGATAAATACATCCATGATTATGTAACGTATCCAGGTAAAATTATAGTAAAACGCGTAGTTGTCGATTGAGTGTTTTGTGACATTGTATATCTACAAATGCTTGAAATGTATCGTTACATTTAAATTTATAGACTTAAAAAACGTTTTCCGAAATCTAGAACATTTATCCTCCCCACTGCTATATTCTCTGGGTAAGTATATATATATCTCGTACGTTTGCCAAAATCGTTTGTATTTCCATTCGCTGAAATAAATGCGATATTTATGGGGATTGCACTTCACACTTATGTGTTTAGATTGAATATATTGTTAAAATGTCAGCGTTATTTGCCAAACAACTTAGCGAGACCTCTCTCCAATATATGTAGATAGGTGTTCAATGGCTGATTGTAGTTACTCTGTATGTCGATATTATTGGAGTAACTGCATTCTACACTGCCGTGTCCATATCTTGGTGAGAACTGAACTTTTCAATATAATTATTGTGAGTGTCAAACTTAATCTGAGCCATCTTCAAAGGTCGGGGTGACGGCAAAATGGATGGGCGGTATTTAACATGAAGTCAAAGACGAAAAGATTAATCGAAATACAAAAATTAAATTAATACAGCAAAGCTTCGCCGTAGGATATTAAACCATAATGCTGAACAGCATGTTTTATTGTCGACATTTGAAACGTTTATGTTTAGCGTATAGAACGTGTTATGTAATTGCTACATGCTGGTTTGGAGACGTCAACATATTTCTAATGTAAATTAAAATTAAAACAGGAAGTAAAAGTTATTCGATATAAAACAAACAAAAACAGGAATATCGAAACATAGTAGATTAAACCTACGTCACTGTAAATAAACCACCGATATAATAACCCCGTGTCAAGTCGCAGTAGGCGGATTACGTACAGGGTACACGAGTATCAGTATCTGACCCCATATAGCGTTACATGTTGTACCTGTCGTCATGTCCTCAGCCAGGTGGCAGAATGTAACACTGGTCAAACATCTATCACATATACGGTCTATCATACAAACAGGTAGTTGATTATGGGATAGGGTGTAAGATAATTCAATTGTAGATTTTATCCAAGTTAAAATCACTTAAATTCAATACCAAACGCTTAGTGTGGATTTAATTCTCGCGTAATGTTCCCCTGTGGTGTAGAAGGGCGATTATTGAGGTGGGTAAGGTTTCAGGAATTGTAATGGACACAGATAATCATTATTACATGTGGTGTTACTACTCCAAGTACTTACTCTAACGATGTAGTTATATTGGACATGGGCCGGAAGGCACAGTTTAAACTTCTCAAAGGAGTTGACACTGTCAGGAGGGCTTTTAAATGTATAAATAATTACAAACAAACCAGTTCATCCCATTAACGTCACCCCCTAGAGGAACTGCAAAACAAGTGTGGGTTCAAACATTCTTACAAATGCTGATAAACTGTTTCAATGATTGCATGATATAAGACATTACGAGAAAGACGTGGTTCCGACTGCTCGGCCATATCGTTCAGGCTCTACATAGCCTAACAGCGATAACCCGGGCGAACAAACAAGGAGAGCACTCAGCCCAAAACGGACTTTTAAAGTGATGATTTTATAAAACCCCGTATCAGATATGTAATAAATATGATACACATGTAGATAGCATAGAACCCGGCCTTTACACGTCTCCGACAGAAGCAATGACAATCAGTACAACAAGGTCTACACACTGGCCAAAGATTAAATCTTTAATCTCTTACATCATGGGACTCACACACCAGCTTTGATGTGGTAAACACCGTTTATTCTCGACTTCTACATTCCGCGACGTTTATCATTGGAGAGGTAGGCCTATTTTAATGGCATTGGATAAGTAGGGATCAAAAACATGGAACACATTTCACAAGCTGTGTTTAGTAAATGAGATTTGCGTAAAAGGATTTTAGAACATATTAATATTCACGTACATTAATCATATACGTTATTTCATAAATAATTTGTATACCCTATAACATAATGATTTGTTTTATCATTATTAGATTGATAATCCGCTCGTGAACAATCTGCAATATGAAAATAATTTATTAAAACTGTTTTCAAGTTATTTATTAAGAGGTGAGAAGAGAATATCGACAAAGCTATACCCTTTCACAGACAGAATGTTCAATCTGATTTGTATTGAACCGTCAGCAAATCTAGACTTTATAAACCTGGAAAGCCACTACAAGTGAAAGCACATTTGACGAGTGGGGCATTACCAAATCTCACGAGCAATTATGTATCTTGGAAAAATAGGTTATGTTCGAAAAGTGGAATTTTTCAGTCGTCAGTTTACTCCGTTGTCGCGAACACCTGCCATCTCAAGCAAGGCTTCCCACAATTAGCATTGAATTCTACAGTCGTGTTCCCGACCGAACACCGAAAATCCATTTCCACATGAATTTTAATCAAATGGTTATTTTTTTCGTATCAAGAAGGTTGTTGAGCTCGAACGCACAAGTGGGAATTTCTTTAGCAATTTTCATATTTCATTTTAGTTCTTAATACATTTTGATATTTTTTGTCTCCTGATATTTGGAAAACATTTTGAAAAATGGATTATTTTCAAAAGCGGGCCCAGTGTCTATTTATGATACTCATAAATATTTACGTACCGAATAGAGAATAACATCTTATTTACACTTCAATACTGGTGTGTTCAACACAAAAGTGTGTAACTCCACGCCTCCTGTATATTAAATATACCGTACTTCATCGTGTGACTTTCTTTCCTAACGGCTAAACTTTTACGATGACCTCATTATTTACTTAAAATAGCTGTATGACAAATCGTTTTAGTGTGAGACAGGTGTGAATGAAGACTCGTCCATCCGTGCTACAGGTATACCATTCTGACCGGTTGTTATCCCTCCTGACAGGTAGGCTGCGTGTTAAATCCGTGTAATGCCTTTACCCCTGCTGATAAAGGTGAGGTTTTATCGGAAAAGTAAAGTACATATCTGTGCTGCTCGGAGAAACATTTCATTAACATACACGCTGGTTGTTTTTATTACCACATTAATTTTTTTTCTGTGAAATGAACCGCTTTTAAAATTGATTGAGGTTTAGCTTGACAGACCGCATCACATTTTACATGTCAAAATAAATGTGTTTTGTTTTATGTATAATCATAAATATTTTTAAATAAATGTTGACAATTTATAAAATTAGTTTTAAGAAATTAGGAATTTATAATTATTCAATGTGCACAGAAAGATCCGAAATCAAAATTCAGAATGTTTGTTACAAAGAGTGCGCCGTAAATATAAGACCGGGACGTGTTTTACTTTTCAAACATATTATTGCGTTTCTGATTAACTTGTCAAGTTAATAATGTATGTTTATGGAAGTCTCCTAATGACTTTTCTAGTGGTTAGAATTTATTGTCACACGCTGACAGTTATTTGTTTTATTTCTTTCTCGCCTCAAACGTTCGGAGAAAATAGGAATTTATGTCGGAATCTGACTCTGGGATCGTGTTATATGGTCCATAGTGCGCTAAACACCGGATGGTGTATATGAGCATGGCGCCTTCTGCATACAACATCCTACTACGTCGAACTCGCAAATTAATCAAGTACATTACTTTGAGGGAAAAGCAAAAAACACTGAGGCAAAAAACAAACGAAGGAAATAAAGCAAAGATGGACTTGATTGGGATTCAAAATTGATTTCTTTAAATAAATTTAATTTTCTGGCTGTCATTTAAATTCATAAGGCGGATTTTTTTTTAAAAATAATTCCTCTATAACATGATAGTATTACTAAGATAACCTTAAAGTCTGACGAGGTGATGGAATGAAAAAAAACGTCACTCATGTTTTAAAAATGCCTTTAAGTTCCGTGCACATGTATTTTACTGTAAGTCATCAAAATTTCAGTAAGAAATCAAGTAGAACTTCCGGTATAAGAGGTAGCTGTTGATTTAAATGTGGTACTGTTACTATCCATAATTAATTGGAACCATATGTAAACTAAAGAATATTTATCCCCCTCAAAGAACACGCATAACGGGATACGACTGTACCAGTACATTCAACTACTAGATCTAAACGGCGCTCAGGGTAGATAGACCGTTGTCTGTGTTCCTCCAAAACAACACTTTATTTCTTTACATCAGCTATGCAGATGAACCACTGTATGGTTCAAGGTTTCTAGTATGTTGAAAGCTGTGTTGTTGTTCGTTTCATTGAATCACTCCGATCAAGTGGCTGTAAGGTACAGCGTAACATCACTTCATCACTTGCCAATATTGAGATACTTGAAAAAACACACAACATACATTCCGGTATGTACTCAACACTTGAAATACATATGAAACGTTACTGTTAATACTATGGAGACTGGAGGGGAAGCGCTGATCTCTGAAACCTTTGTTCATATGTAAACGTAAGGTTTCCATGGGTTTCCAGTGGCGGATCCAGAAAATTATCGGGGTGGGGGGTTCTGAAGCCCCAAAAAAACTACCTCTTGATCCGCCACTGGTTTCCTCCGAAGTTCGTGGGGTTTTATGACGCCTTTCTAAATATACATGTTTATATTATTTTCTACTGGCTTCATGCTGTTGTCGTATTTTTTTTACCAAATATCAAGGTCGGATTTTGTCAGTATGTGTTGACAGTGCGATACATATTTTTTATCATGCCCTTGAACTGTAACCATTTTGAGTGTTTTGTGTTTGTCTTTGTACATGTTTAATGAATTTTGTCATCAGAAATTAAGATCGAGTTATTTTATTGATTTTTAAAATTTCAAATCGTTTGTTATTCATGCACAACTTATGTCCTTTTATTAAACAATAAATTAAGGTCCACACATTCAGAATAATTCCCGTATTGATGGGAACTTAATCATATTTTGTCAATTGTCAAATTCGAATGAGGAAATGTCACAAACCCAGAGATTAATTGCAGTGGTTATTATTGGATTTCTTTTAATTAATTAAAGTAATAATTTGACGATAACGGGGACACTGCATGTTCCAAATGCATCTCATGTCAACAACATGATGTAGTTAAACTTCATTTCTTTGTGTGTGAATTCTGATTGGTTTACTGTAGTTGTTTTCAAGTCACTTGTTACGTCACACTCAAGATATCTGACAGGACGTCAAAAACAGCAAGATGACGACATTGCAGAGATACAAAGACTTAGAAAATTAAATCTTGCATACTAGACCGAGATATCAGCTTTTCCGGCGGTGCTGGGAAATTCTATCCGACACACGGGTTTAGATCCGTTACACGCGAAGACTGGCGGGGGAATTATAGTGACCTTTCGGGGTCACGCTATTGTTCGTGACGTCATTTTATGACGTTTTGGAGTCAGTCAGGGTCATGACGTCACTAGCAATTGCCCTCCGGGCTTCATATGCAAATGAGAAATGTGCGGACAGTTTACAACCTTACTAGAAGAGCAGCTGTTTTTACGGGTTTTAGGTAATAAGCAAGAAATAGAATCCATCCCTGATGTGAGGTAAGGATAAGGTAATTCAAACCCTCGGTATAAAAAAAACTTATCCATACCTCACATCAGGGATGGATTATATTCGTCTTGCATACTAGACCGATATATCAGCATTTATGGCAGTACTAGTGCTGGAAAAATCTATCCGACCCACGGGGCTTGATCGCTTACTTGCGCAGCCTGGCAGGAGAATTATGGTTACCTTTCGGCGTCACGCTATTGTTCGTGACGTCATTTTATGACGTTTCGAGGTAAGTCAGGGTAATTGACGTCATTGAAAATTGCCATCCGTGCTTCATATGCAAATGAGATATGTGTGGATAGTTTAAAACTGTACAAGAAGAGCAGCTGTTTTTACCGGTTTTAGGAAATTCAAACCCTCGGGATAAAATATTGAGCAGAAGACCCTCAGCAAAGCCTCGGGTCTCCTGCTCAATATTTTAATATTTGGGTTTGAATAACCTTATCCATACCTCACATGAGGGATGGATTCTATTAATCTGTCAGGCCCCGGGATCATGAAACAATTTTAGGCTTAAGTTTTTGTCGAGAAAATCACTTATGACGTCACTTTTTTATGACGTTATTTGTGATTGGTTAAGTCAAAACTTAAGGCAATTTTAAACTTAGGATCGTTTCTTGATCTAAGAGCCAGAAATCTTTTACATCAATTATTTGTGGTATGAACAAAATTCTTGATTTTGTTTCAGTTCGATTGGCATTGATTTAACTATGAAGTACATTGTACACGTTTTTTTAATTTTAAAGTCATGGTACAAATAAAAGCCCCACTTTAACAAAAGTTACAAAGGTATTTTATCGCAGCTGATAGTTCACAAGGATCTAGACTTTCTGCTGTTGAAAACTGTTATCTTATCTGAGAAATACACCGATATACAGGTATATACAGTCTATATATTACCAGACCAAGTGACAGGGAAGGCGTAATTATAATAACATCTTAGACAGTCCGTATCGTGTTACACAACAAATTAATTCTCGATATGTATACATATACATTGTGTACATTGTACAGGTATAATATTTCGTATCATACGTAATGACTAAAGTATGGTCCAATACAGGTTTAGGATCCTAACGTATAGGTACGAATGTGTGTTGGCTGTGTAGTGCTTAATCGATATAAGTATTACCGGAAAAGTAATAACGATAGGGTGCATATTAAAATTTTGCATTTTTTTCGAGGCAATTAATCCTTTTGTCAAGACACAAACGTAAATATCCACAAAGTACTGTGTAATATCCTATACCATTTATAATTGCACATCCACTCCTCGGCTACCTGTCGGCCGAAGGAATAAACATGAACGTAAGCGGTTTTGTTGTGAGTATTGGTTTTTGAAAGTAATTACATGTAGTTTATGTCATTGTTAAATGGTTAGCGTCTTGACAGAGGGGTTGGTTACTTTATAAATTGACAATTACGTATTGTTCAGATGGTCGTTATTACGTGTCTTAAATATATAAATAACAGTAAATGTACATACGTAATGTAAGATATCAAACATGTAAATAACGGGTGCGAGTTCCCGAACGTGTCTCCCGACAGGTAATTATTAATAGTATGTTACATTCATATACTCCAATGGACAGGGCACATACTACTGTACTATCGTAGCTCGTACCCAAAACGCTACGAATCGCTTGTCCATCGTCCCCTATAATTCACATATAATCATTAAAGCGCAGACAGAATTACATCAGAGATAGCGGGATCAGCGGTAAAATAAGAAAACCGCCAAAAGTAAGCAAGTTTACAGTATGCGTTTTTACTGCAAACGTGGTATGCAATAATAAGCAAATGGTGATGAGGAAACCATGGCCCCACTTTGAAGAGTGAAATACGTTGACGGCTCTCGCTGTTCTACATGCGTAAGTCTTGCGCCTGTCGGAGAAGTAACTAAGAGGGGGTTTGTGCGGGGAGGGGTGCGGGCTTTGATCATGGATGGAAAGGAACGACTTGTTACTGCGGGTCAAAAGTTTTACATAGGAAAACAACCCATTTCCTAAACGGCGTGGCACATTAGATGCTAGTGCCGGGAACAGTATATCAATTACCAGAGATCGTTAGTTTACGTTAGGTAGAGATATGTTCCTCGCCCACCCGCCTGAGCGCTGGGAGGGACCTTCACAAGTCATCGCACACCAATAGCGCCCCACAATCATGTGTATGCTCATTTAGGCCGGTGGTGACTTTTAAACGACTACATGATTAAATTGAATCACCTTACACTACCCTTGTCCTCCTCGGGGCAGAGTCAATCACGGGTAAACTGATTCTGGTGCAATTTGTGAAACGCAGTGGAAAATAAGAAAAGATTATTTACCACTTTTGTTGAGCGATGTGACAGACCTTGGAACTTCTGATAAACGAGCAATTGATCCCGGACAGTAGCCATTAGTACACATGGACACGTCTGGATCCCCTTGTATCTTGAAAAGTACCGACACAGGCCACAGATCAAGCGCCATGCCGTTAGTAAACAGACCGATTGCCATTGATACAAAATCGACCTGGTGATGTTATAGATGGCTATCGGTGGAGGATCACTACCTGCTCTTATCCACTTAAGTCCCCCTGACGTAAGGAAACACTTCCAAGTGTATTTAAGGTTCTGTTATTTCAACAATTTCATAATACTTAAAAGTACAAATAAACGCACACTTATCGATCCCGACGGTCGATAGGTTTGTGTTCCGGGATCATTGACTAAATACTGAGACAATAATTACCGGGTGTCTGTAAAATTTATTTCAATTCCTGTCTATTATCTTGCTGAATTGACAACATAAAGAATAGAAATCCACATTTGGGGGATAGTTTATATACTGTATATACGCGGATAACGAGCACTGTCGATATATTACCCTCGGACTGTACCCCGGACTGTACCGCAGACGCCGGGGAGGCTCCGTCGGTGTAGATTGCCTTCACAGAGTCTCCGGGAAATGTCCTTTTGTGTCAAACTCCGTGAAATATTTACATTGTAAACCAAGACAATCGATAAACGATATGTGGAGCGGACACCTGGACGGACGTAGCACACATTGTAAAAACTCTGGTGTCACAGATGTCTTAAGTTTTTATAATATAAAGAAAGGGACAACAAAGTGATGGGACTCGTCACACTAAATATATTGACGACACACGTGTATTACCGCGGAGTAAGGTAAGCAATGCGCGCGAGGAGGAGCCTCACGATCGATTTTCGGGGAACTTCTCACTTACTTTCACCTCGTTCATTCACCGTCTGTGATGAAAGTTCCGGTGATGCAATGTCCGTGTCGTACGCGTCTGTTTGTGTTTCCACGTCTTATCCGTGTGTATGAACACCCATTTCAATGTTTCATCGCTCCTTTTTAGTCTCTTATTGTCCTCAACTCATGATATGACGTTTGATTTTTTCAGTGACCTTGATGATGGTGCTATGACGTCATAGCGGAGATGAGGGTGCCAACGTCACAAGAGGAGGTTTGGGTTACCCCCGCCCGCCACATTGGACCCCCCTTCGTGTGATTCCCGACCCACAGGATTATACCAGATAGCTTACCAATTGTTTTGTGTTGTTTCCGAGGATATATTCAACTCCGTGTGGGAATGGTGATAGTGATTACGATGTAATTACAGATCAGTTTGGATTTTATACATTGACCATGGTGGTTCTGCCTGTCAGTGACACATTTTTGGCGTCAACCGCGCTCGGACTAGTCCTCATGATTCTAAGTGGTAAGTACACCAATGTGTTTCTGTTTGTTATAGGGGATGGGAGGTCCAATAATTACTACGATTTATTGCAATGCTTTTTTTTCACGACTGCATAGTTTGATAAAAGGCTGTCCTGTTTCACTTTGAGAGTGTCACACGCTGGGACTATTGGCACGGCTTGTAAGTAGGTTATTTGTAGGTTACTGTTGTTTATTACTAATGTTACGTTAGTTGACTGTTATACATAAACTAAGAACCGTACCGATAATTATAATAAATCTGTTCCGACAGAGAAATTGTCCCGCGTAACGACACCCTGCTACACGGGATGAAGATATGTTGGGGGAGAGAGTTTAATACAGAAGTTTTGACATATGGTGACGCCGCTGTGAAGATATGTGTCCGACTGGTCCTGACGCGGTATCATAGGACAAAGCAAGGAACAGCTACATATAAAACTGTACGATAAATTATTTCTGTTATATTCTCAACAAAAAATAAATAATAATAAAAACAGAACTGTGAACATATGTTCTCTAACTGCAAACCCGTTGTCAGAATAATGTAACCGATTGCAATGTCACGCTAACGTGTCCAGGTAATGACATTGCAGCGAGATGGCGCTTTCAAAATGGCTATTGAATCGTCCCAGCGTCTGTGGACACTGTCTTCATACTATTTCTGTTGTTTTTAGAACTGAATTATTTCCTTAATAAACAGACAATAGATATATATGTATTTTAAGAGACATTTCACTGTGGTATGTAGTTGACTAATACAGAATCAAGTAAACAAATGTAGCTTGTACACATATTACATTTTGCACAGAAAAAAGGCATTATTCCTGTTGCGTTTTGCCCCCAACTGAATCAGAATAAATCTTATAAATAAACATTGGGTACACATGCACGTGATCTGTCACACTAAACGTCACCAGTCCCTGCGGGGTCCGTTAGGGATATGTAATTACTATATTATACATGTACATGTAATTGAAATACTTCTGATTCATAACATGAACTGATTTCTCTAATTATGAGTCATTATAGGAGTATTTACATGTACATGCTACTCGCTCTACTTTAAGCATTGTCTTTATTTCGCAACAAATAAATATTTTTTAGCAAAGTAAAGTTGGACAGTTAATCGTTATTCATTATTGAGAATAACGAATACATTCTTCACTTCACTTCCGAGGGGAGAGGTTGAGTTAGAAAGTTATTCGAAATTATCGAGTTAAGGGTCCCAAGTGGTTTAGAAACCCATTCCGGTCTCTAACTTTTGAAATGTTCCACATAACGGGGAAGCCACAGATATGGTTTAAACGAATTAGGATTGAAAAAGCCGTTAAAGAACTGTATCCATCTTATATGCTCACCATATAAAATACCAAATAAAGTCTGATTACTACAAGAAATGATGATATCGGGGATGACGTCATTTTACAAGTGTCAGCATGACAATTGACCTACCGCTTCAACTTACGTTGTAATTTAACTTTTAAATCAATCACTCAAGTCATTGCGACTTTCATCGTCCGGTTTACTCCATATCGTTTCATTTCGGATTTTTACTGAAAAAAAAGCAGTTAGTATCGGAGAACATGTATAATTTGATTATTAATTGTATTTTTTAAGATGTAGAAATTTAAAATTAGGAACAAACAGTAGCGCTTCAAAAATGTACATGTATAAATGTAGCGTAAATGTAAGATACAGTACGTAAGGTCATACTGGCATGGTAATTCAATTACAATTCGTATACACATTTCACATCCCTCTGCTGCCTATGTGGACATACATTATGTAACCTTCCGAGGTTTATTTTGCCTTGAAATACAAATATCATACATTTCTGTAGGCATACATTCGTAAAAGTTCTTATTAGGGTTTCACATCAAATATAAATGGAATTATCTTTTTTTTAATTTCGTGTTCAGATTACAAATGTCTAAATTAGATGTTTAAAAATCAGCCCTCTCCATTTACATTATGAAACCTGAATTGTTCCTTTCCGTGTTAATGCTGCGATAATGATGAAACATGCCACCCTTTATATGAAATATGGGGGAAAATAGTTATTACTATTTTTCAAAGTTACCGTTTCCTCTCCAAGGAAACAACAATAACTAGAGGAAGCCTGATAAATGAGCTGCCAGGAAATTGTTTTAAGGTTTCATGGGTTTACTTGCATTTTACGTGAGCTCAGATCTGCGTGTAGAGAGCGACCTGCACTTCTGCTGTGGTTAGTGATCAATATACAGGCGCTAATATTTTGTCGTAATCGACGAACGTGTCCTCTCATCACCCGGCACCGCGTGATATATGCCTCTCATCAAATAATGAACGAGTTAAAACATTAGCTGCCCTTATAAACCTATGGAATCAACAATGTTTTAACACGTTTTCATAATACAACAAAGATTAGCATCGGACATATTATCGCTGCCAACGCGCGCCATTCTTTACGTCACTTCTACGACACGTCCGCCGTTGATCAGATAGTCTCATTCACAGTAACAAATATGTTATCAGCGCACTAATTTCCTGTCAATGACGGTGAAGCGCCCCGGGAAAAATATCCCTGCACTTTAAGGTCGCGACTCCCCACTGTGTGTACTTAAGTAGTTTAGGTATCTGGGTAAACGTTTTTGATTTTGGATATGATAGTTTACTTATGTCATGATATTGCATTGGTTAGAACAGCGCTCACTGAGTTTAACTTTAAATGAAACTTTAAATGGTTCCGCCATTGTATTTGTGGATGTAATTTTCTTTTCAATCAGCTGTCAATCAACAACATTTAAAATGTCACACAAAACAGCTTATGCAGTCGTCAAAATGATATATTACACAGTCTTATCAATAGGTCTGACATTTAAAGATAGAATATGATTATCCACATAAATGATAAGGAATTAATTTCAAGGTAATGATGCAAGGTTTAACCCAGTGTGTGTGGACAGTGTTGTAGAAAGGGGTTTATATAGTGGTATGTGAACACTGGTGCAGTCTTGGCGTGTGACATATTCGACAAACAGACGCAGTTCGCTGTTGATGGTCATGCTGAAATACGTATTTTTTTTTTACATCTACTGGAACTATTCTTGTACACGCAGTGCAGAAATTTAACGGCGGACCTCTTCAAACTAACGTCGGGTTCATTGAAGAATGATGTAATTGGCTACTTTTGTGTCAGATTAGGAAGCAGGATTCCCATAAACCTGCTGCCATTACTGAACACAGTGTAATAGTATCGGCGACCTTCCCATCGTCACGCGAGGGTCGACGTCACACACAAAGACCAAGCGCATATCGGTTAACCGGGCCAGAAAGGGACAGGGATCGTGTTCCCGAGAACAATGGCCGCCAAAAGGCTACACGTGTAATCCGTAAAACAAATGCTTCAAGCTCAATATCGGAAAAAGGAAACTCGTTTTCCAAAGTTACGTTTCGTGGTTAAATGAAATAGACATTAATGGTTTGTGTATGCAGCTTTTCGGAGACTATCAACAAGATCTGTATCGATATAGCATGGCGGCCCCTCGTTCATAGAACATATGGAAAAAAATATGGGATATAAAACAAACCAGTTGTATCCGAACGACCAATGATAAGTATGATTCAGGGAGTCTTGTGGTTAGGCTTACGTGACGACCATCCTCTTCCATATTCACGTGCTCAACCTTGTCCCGCCATCATGTCAGTCTGACCACGTCCTGTCTCAGGCAGATTTTTTTTATTTATTGAAATATGTCGTTTATAGTTAAGTTGTGGGTGCTATAACACTGGTGGGTTGGCGGTCAGAACATATATAAAACATGTCAATCGTTACACTGCATACAAACGCCTGGCAATCATGTCGTCGTCACATGACTAGAAGATATATATTTACGAGTAAAATTTCAAATTAAACGCTGTCTGTTTGTGTAATTAAATTAATTGGATATATGAATGGAACCCTTGAGATTAAAACCCCCCATCTAGATATGAGTGCATGCTGCCTAATTCTCGGAACTATTTTCCATCATATGCGTTTCTGCATACTACGACTGAACAAATAGTGTCGTTCGCTGCTGATTCGTGAGTAGGTCCCGTCTAATATAGCCCAGATTGTATCGTGAAATCGAGGTAGGACGGAGTCAGTCTGCCTATCTGTGCAGGGCGGTATATTTAAACATTAATGCTGAAGCGATCACATTGAGTCTACAGGTTCAGACCCCTTCCTTTTACTCGGTGTCAGACAATTTGCTTTTTTATAAAGGAAGCCACCTCGTATATGCAGTTGCCCCAAGCAATAACATGACTTAAAGCAGACCTGCTGAGTCTGGTCACGTGCACCTTCAATCCTTCAATCCTTCAATCCTCTAGGCTACGTCACGTGACCTCAATGTAATGCATGAGATGGAACTCCGGTACCATTTCCGTTACCGCAGCAATTGTTGTGAGAGCATCATTACAGACATCGATGATAAAACCAATAGAAGAGCAATAGTTCCCTCCACAATTACGTCACTGTTAAAAGGCAGTCGTAACTTTTGTCTTGGCAACGAGTTTGAGTTAAAGTTCCGGTTCTCCTAGGGTAAATCGGATCTATAAAAACATCAGGAACATGTTATAGCTCTACGACAATGCCATCTTTGTCCAATACATGCCTTTACTACATGTCTTGGACAACTTGGGTTTCCATATTTTGGCCCCCAGCATCACCGATGAGTCCCGGTAGGACGCAGCAGCGGTATGGTTCAGTGCAATTCATTTTAGGCCTGCTGTATTACCAAATTATAAAGGTGCAATCACCTGTAGGCGTGTTACGTTCATTTCCCGATGAATGTGTAAACTTTAGAATTAATTGTGAGATCATGTAACATCAATCATCTATGGGCGTTCTGTATATATAGTGTAAATACACAGCCAATGCTGTAAATTGCTGTGATTAAGATTAACGCAGTGGTCAGTTGTATGATTCTCTAGGTGTAATCGTCACAGCAGACGCAGTCTATGGTCGATCTTTTGATAAAG